GGGGGGGCCCGGGCGCACGGCTATGGGGGGGCCCCGCCCCTGGGCGTGCATGTGTCCCCGCCCCCTGGCACCTGGCAGCCTCTAAAGGTTGGGGACCACTGATCTAGCCCCTCACCTCAGGGCTAGCTACAGTCTGTAATGGCCATGCTCCTGTATGTGCAAAGTGGAAAGGGGGGGGTTCTGGCCCAGGGACCATCTGTCAGCCAGGTCCTGCCTTTGTGCCAGTGCCTACAGCCTGGGAGGTATCAGTCTGGAGCTTTTCTGCAGCTCCCCTGAGCCTGTCCCGCACTGCTCTCTCCATGGTGCTGCTGGTTCCCCTCCCCCCCTACTGGGACACAGCTCCTTTTTTCCCTTGCTGCTCAGGGTGAGAGTGAGCTCCCCTCAGCTCTGCAGTCTTTTATAGGAGGCTGGCCCTGATTAGCTGATTGCTCCCTGCCCTGAGAGGCCAAGTATCATAGAATCATAGAACTGGAAGGAACCTTGAGAGATCATCAGGTCCAGTCCCCTGTCCTCATGGCAGGACCAAGCAACATCTAGACCATCTGATAGGTGTTTTGCCCAACCTACTCTTAAAAATCTCTAATGATGGAGATTCCACAACCTCCCTAAGCAATTTATTCCAGTCATTAACTGCCCTCACATAAAGTTTTTTTTCTAATGGTCAACCTAAACCTCCCTGGCTGCAATTTAAGCCCTGTTGTTTTTTTCTCCTATCATCAGAGGTTAAGGAGAATATTTTTTCTCCCTCCTACTTGTAACAATCATTTAGGTACTTGAAAGTTGTGATCGTGTCTCTCCTCAGTCTTCTCTTTTCCAGACTAAATAAACCCAGTTCCTTCAGTCTTCTCTTGTAGGTCGTGTTTTCTGGACCTTTAATCATTTTTGTTGCTCTTCTCTGGATCTTTTCCAGTTTGTCCATATCTTTCTTGAAAAGTGACTTCTAGAACTGGACACAGTATTCTTGTTGAGACCTAATCAACACAGAGTAGAGAGGGGGGAAAAAAACAGGTGTAATCAGCTCAGTGAAGTTGTTCTTGTTTTACCATGGTGTAAGTGAGAGCAGCATCAGGTCCTTCTGTGTGCCTCAGTTCTCATCTGTAAAATGCAACTAATAGTGAATACCTGCTTCACACAAGTGCTGAGACTAAATTAATGAAGTGTTAAAAAGCAAGAATCTAAGCAGAGGGAGGGAGAAATGGTATGTTCTCTACTAAATGCTTAGAATAAAGAGTGGTGAGCTCTGTTGAGACCCTGTGGACAATGAAAGATATAGTGCTGCTATGTTTAATTAGATAGAGCAATTGATTTTCCTGAATACTGTTTTTAAAGCAAATGAAATGTATAGACGGTTCATTAAGCTGAACTCTTTCATGACATTATCCTGTTCTGGCTTTCATTCTTGAAGCTGTATTGATTCTCAGATAAATGTAGAGGAAGCAGATAAAAGCGATCACATTATCTGCCTTGTATGGGTCCTCTCTTAGGTATTTTTCTCTTTGTCATCCATCACAGTTCGACTTGGTTATGGCCTGGTAGCCTAGTGACTATGAAGGGGGCTCAAGTTCAATAATATCTTCTTAATTATTTGTATCTGCCACAAGAGTACATAGTGCTACACACCACCATTTGTGCTGAGCAATTAGCAATTCTACACTCCCAAGAAGTTAAGAATCCAATAATACAAGAGAAAATAAGCATATAATATAAATCAGAATAAAGAGACCTGGTGTTTTATGGGTGTTGAGGCAAGCATGCTTTACAGAGAAGGGAAAGGATTTAGATTTTTCTTTTGAAGGATTATAGTGCAAGATGTATATTAGTTGGGATTTTATTCCAGACATATAGAACTGGGTGGGATGCAGAAAGTCATGGAGACAGTAGTTGGCAAAAAAGACAAATGGGGTAATGAGGAGAGGGAATTAGGGGGAGTATAAGGAACATGAGATAATGCTGACCAAGAAGGGTGAATAGACCGATTTATCTCCATCATATCCAGCGCCTATCTCATTGATTGTTACTGTGGTTATATGCAAAAACATATTACAAATGTTATTTAGTACATTTTCAGGCACTCATAAGTTACTAAATAGAGTATAACTGTAAGTCCATCCCCTTCTGTGTATGCAGTATGGCAGTCTTTAGTCTGTGATTGTGTCCACAGGATTCTGCCTCAGTACAAAGGGAGTACTAAACTTAAACCCACTTAATTTTTAAAACATCCTCTTTTAATGACTGATTTGAAGCTCATGAGATTTAGCGGAAAGCTTCTCACTGACTTTAGTAGAAAGGGTCTTGCAGACTGTCTTGTGTGGGAGGAGAGTAGGAAGAGTTGAGATGTAGGTAAGGGAGGAGATGTGCAGTGCCTTCAAGGTAAACACAGGGATCTTGAACGTTATATAAAAAGGGGGATAACATTCAGGTTGGTGAGGGATGAAGTGTCAGAACAATGGGAGAGACTGATGACTGTAGTATTTTGGAAAGATAGTGGAAATGAATAACAAGGAAGTGAGAGAAGAAAAAGCTGCAGTGAAAGTAGGCAGGACAAGTTTGGCCAGTGGAATTACTAAAACTATGTGTATCCCGGTATACTAAGTTGTATATCGTGAAAGGGAAAAAAGAAAATAAGAGCTTGTTTCTTAAGATTTTATGGGGTTTTTTCTCCACCCACAGACCAATACTGACTTCAAGAACCGGTAGGCTATTATCGGTTCAGTAGCTACTTTTTGTGTTGTGTCACTATGCACTGCAATGACTCTTTACTTTGACAGTTAAGGCTTTGAAACTGGCAGACTTGGAATCTTGCTGCCTGACTTAACATATCAGTAAGGACAGAGTTTTCTCTTTAAGGATTTAAATGCAGGGCCACAGTGGGGGTAGCTGCTGGGACCTGGTGCATGCCAGGACTGAGACAGCATGCCTGCCAGCCAGCTCTCAAGCACCTTTAAATACACAACAGCTTATTGATTATCATTGAACTGACAAAATTTTTGCCAGCTATCCAATTACTGGATTACACACTTCCTAACATCCCTCGCTGGGAGGTGTGGGGAATCAGGGCGGGAGGGAGGTCTGCAGGAGTCAGGCACAGGGTTGAGTGAGGGTGCTCATGGCAGAGGCTGGAGGCTTACAGCAGAGGGTGGAGGTACAGGAATGAGGGCAGAGCGGAGGATGGGGGGAAGTGAGAGTGCAGGATAGGGGGTTGGGTATGTGGTGGGGCTTAGGGCAGGGGGCTACTTACCTGGTCAAGTGGCCAGCAATGTGGAAAGCCCCGTGCCCAGCTGAACACTCTTGCTGGTGTCACTGT